GGCGAGTGGCACCGCATTCACATCAGTACGCATATCCATGAGTGTGTATTTTCCGAAGATACTTTCATTACAGACCCCCCAAAAATACCAGGTTTAACTCATTGCTTTCCATTTTGGCACACCCCATATCGACCTTTCAGGCATGCTGTCCTGCTCTATGAACCTTCAGAAGAACTCTACTTTAAGTGGTGCTTGGCTCATGAATTAGAACCAAACATAACCAAACCCATGGTATTTGGTTTGAGATCTGGGGTTTGCCTAGTGCTTGGATTCTTTTATTGGTCTTCCATTGGAGGCCTTTTGGGCATCTCCTTCCACCATGTGCTCTTCGACATCTTCGGTTTGACGGCACTGCTACGAGAGCTCATGGCAGCCTTGCAGGAGAGAATCCCATTGATGTGAACCGACGCATATACGGGCAGGGTGCCTGGGAGGCACTCAGTGCTCTTCATCAGGCTCACCAAGGGCAAATCTGAAATTAATTGAACAACTACCCAACACACCATCACAATGATTTGCCCACACAATTGCTTCAACTACCCAACTACCCAACAACCACCGCTCCAAAGAACCATGGTTTTCCGTCTTCACCCCTTCGGGTCGATCCACATCGGAGCGACCCGTCGCCAGGACACCTCGGTCTCGGCAGAGCCGTGCCACGCGCGGCAGGCCGCGCAGGAGGCCTTCGAAGCGCAGGTGCCAGAGGAGGCGTGGAACGCGGACTTGTGACTATTTGTTTTTTCTTAGTGACGCTTATTCGATATATGGTTTTTAATATATATGTTTTTAAACACATGTTGTATTTCATTAGTGGACCACTCCATACCACTCCAAATTGTTCCAACATTCACGGAGCTGAAGGCCTCCGGAAGACCATGATTTCGGGGTTGCCCGGCTGTCCTGCAACCGGTCAACAACAAGCAATGTAGACCGGGGTGAATGACTATGTGAGCTTGCAGCGCGGGACCATTGAAGAGTTGATGAACAGCGTTTTGTCTAGAGTAGCTAACTGGTGGGAACCCAAGTGCAAGCAGATTGGATTGATTGTCCTTGAGCTGAGCGTCAAAGTCAAAAATAAAGACAGCTTCCAAAAGAGCCAGGACCCATACATCCTCAAGTCGAGGGAACACCTTCAATGACAATCATAGCAATAACAATGACGAATAATAATAATAAAAAGAAACATAATGAAAAATAGCAAAATAATAAGAAGAAGAACAAGAACAAGAACAAGAACAGCACTAAGAACACCAACATCAAGTGTCAATCAGGGTGGCTGACCATTCAACCCGCTTTTTAGATGAAGCAACCGGGCCTTCTGTGCGCCTCATCCGGTGTCGTAGGTGCCGGCGCTTTGGCCCCTGTGGCCTCGTTCTTCGGAGCGGTGGTGCTTCCTCGCACGGAGGCCGCGAGTTGCCGGGAGGGTCGTACTTGAGCAGGGAGGGCTTTGAATTGCCTGGATGCAACCAGTAATAGCCCTTTTTACGTCCAAATCCACAAAATCATTGCGGGCCCTGAGGAAGCAGACATGTCAACACAAAAAACAAAGAATCTGGAACTGGAACATGTGAAGGCTTGACAACGGAGATGTTTGACAGAATCCTGCGCATCGCTTGCTCACATAGAGAGATCAAACAAGGTGTAATTGAATCTCATCGGGACCAAAAACAGGTCAGTTTTTTCAACCACACTGACGATGTTTGACGATGTTTGAAACGTCTCCCACCGGTGCATCTTCGTCCGACGTCCTCACCATGGCCTCTCCAGCGGCTCGGTCGAGGCTCCGCAGCGGCTTGCGGGGCCGCCCCGATGGCGTGGCCACGCTGAGCTTCGCCGCCAAGCGGGAGGAGTCGCCGCCGGAAGGCCAGGAGAACCGTATAGGTTCCCCATGGTGAGGGGCAGCCTGTGAGGAAACCTCATAGGAAAACAGCCTGGGGGTAGTTTAGCTAGACCCCTTCGCCATTTTGGCTCAAGAAGTGAAACGAACAGACGCTCGCAGAGCCGGGAGCGTGCACACCAGAGAGAGCTCACAAAAACTCCAGCCTCTGTCTGTTTCGTCCTTTACTACCAGAGCCAGAATCGCTAGAAAGATTGGACTGTGCTTTGCATGCATCACCGTGTCTAGTCTTTTTTTCCTGAACATTTGTGCTTGTTGTTGGTTTAATTTTTGTCAATGATGTTGTTGGTGCAAGGACTCTTGAGTCAACTGGCGAGAGAATGGAACGTGTTTATTGCATGTCTCAAGGCTATGCAAATGTCTTTTGTAACTTGTATTAGCGTGTAGATCTTAGAATTGGAGCATTTGGGAATATTTGGGATATGAATTTGCGATACGTTGAGTAAAGCTTGGCCAATGAGGGACACTTCTGGGTGCCAAAGGCGGCCCGGCCCATGACAGCTGCACAGGTGCCACCCAGTTGGAGGCACTCGTCGCTTCAGTCGCCTGGCGCTTGCGGCAGCTGGGCCGTGGAGGCCGCGTCATGGCCGGGGCACCCACGGGGCCTTAGGGGTGGAGTGGGGAGAGAGAGAGAGAGAGACACTTATTGAGATGGCCTCCACCCTAGTAGCGATGGCCTCCAACGTAAGAGAGAGAGAGAGAGAATGGGTGGGCAGATACAGCAAAACCACTGGAGGGTTTGCTATTAATTGATTTGGGGGATCTATCGAAACTATGTCAAACAAGAGACGCTATTTCAGAAAAGAACAAACTTTGGGGACCCCCTATCGACCACTGAGCGCCAGTACGTCAGTCCGTAGCTGTTGTATGTTGTACCTTCGTGTCTAACCACAGCTACTACAACACAAAGGTTTCTGTGGGCATGAACGGTGGTCGACACTAGCATAGGCAAGGGTCAATGGTTGATTCAGGTGAGAGCTTGGCCAACTATCCAGGAACAGTCGGAGTTTTGAGTTTTAAACATTCCCTATTGTTTCAGCAAGTTCATTCTGAAGCAGGCATTTCTCCAATCAAAGCACCAGTCTGCTGTAGGGGGAGCAGTGCATGTTCAGCATCCCCTGGTCCTTCGCGGAGCGAGGTCACCAAGGACTACCGAGCGCAGCTGGAAGCGGCTGCTCAGCAAGGACCGAGACAAGGGTATCGGTGTGGCCGCCGTTGGGTTCTTGCGGCTCTCTTATTGTCTAAGTTTCTGATTGGTCACTTGTCCTACTAGGCTACAGTAGCCGTGAACTTCTTGTTGGACAGCCGTGGCTCTTCTTGTTTTTTTATCGATTCAGTGACTTCTAGACTCCGTCAAAGAGATCCACCAGAAGTTATATGTCATAGAAGTATCCAGTTTTTTCTTAGTTTCAGATACTTGCATGATCAGGAATCAAACAATTGTTTACAGAGATCAAGGCACATCGATGTCCTTTCCATTCTCCACCCACTGTACAACGAGATCTTTGCACCGATGTCCTTCTTCGGATCTTTCTCTCCGCCACACGGACCAACAACCGCGCTGGGATCCTCTCCGCCGGAGGCCTGGAGCGCTTGGTGGCCAACTGTGTGACCCATGGCCTCTCCTTCGCGCTGCCCGACGCCACGATGGAGTCGATGTCCACGTGGTCGGCGGAGGACGACGGAGCACGACCGACGTCCGGCCATGATGGATGAGACGACCTTTGGGGAGAAAGAAGTACTCTGAAAGGGATGTCAGTATAGATCACCTGCCCAAGCTTTTTGGGGGATTGAGGACACCCTACTCAAATCCAACGTGGATAAACGTGATCCTTTGACGCTGAAGGGGTCAGCAGCAAAATATGTCATACCCTCTTGGTGAAAAAGTCCCTCGCAAGTCCAGGACGATCGATGGGAGTCCACTCGGCTCGTTGGGAAACAAACACTATACACACACACACGACAAATGTGAGAAATACTAGAAGCATCTACAAGCTACACATTTGTTAGTGTTTTTTTTTTCTCTAGAAATACTGTCTTTTTTTTAATGAAACATACTACACACTCACACATTGTTGTGTTTATACGGGGGTTCTCCACTTGCACTTGTGAATGCATCAAACATTTGGCCGTCAACGAGCTACAGCGGGATAGGGCAGGTTTTGGAAATAGTTTTTTAGTTTTTGTTCATTGCACCGAGTTTGTGAAGAACCATGCAGCTGGTGCGCAAAGAGGAACCCAACTACAACCAAAGCTGTGCGTCCTGAACTAAATCCTGTTCTTTGTATAGGGAGGCGTGTACGGTACGCAATAATTTTGGGAGGTTTTTGAGGGACTCATGATGGTGACTCATGCAGAGTACGTTACTCATAGACAGCGCTGTAGCATCGAGGAAGATTTTGTTGGAGGGATAAGCCGATGAGCACTGGGATTTGGGGAAGGACATGGGCATGGAAAGATGTATTTTAAACATATAATACATATGAAAGCATGTACACACACACATATATATATATGATCGAGGGTCCTTTAGGTATCATTTCGTACTCAGAAACAAACACAAATGATTTAATTTTCAATTCAAATATTTATTGCAAAAAGCATTTGTAAATTAAAAATTGATAGATTTTGATGTTTTATTTATTTTTTTTTAAAGATTTATTTAATTTATTCAATTTTTCAAATTGTAACTTAAATATATTTAAAAGTTAAAATATTTCTTTTTGTTTGTGGATTTGGCTATTTAAACAATTAAATAAATTAAATAAATTAAATAGATTAAATAAATTAAATCGACGTGTATATATTTTTTTAATTTATTTATTTTTTTAATTTACAAAAGGCTTTTGTAAATTAAAACAATAAATAGATTTTGATTTATTTTTTTAATTTTATTTAATTTTTTTTAATTTACAAAAGGCATTTGT